AAGGATGCCCTCATAAGACTTGTCGTTTGTAAGTAAACATGATCTTTTGCGACGAGTTGATTAGAGGGTGTAAGGGTTTGCAAAAATACTGGAGACATACAAAATCTGACTTAACACACAGAATTGTTGAAGATGTGGAGTGTCTAGAACGCTCAGTTAATGAAAAGTTATGTAGCCTAATAGACAAATGTACGGAACACCAGAAACCTGCAATGCATGATGCTTTAGATAGTTTATGGCCTCTCGTAGACAATAAGTAAAAATGCTTGTTCTAACCGGGAAAACTGGCTAAGTGTTAAATGGGATGAGAGTTTGGATAGCTCAATTAATGAAGTTAAATAAAATAGTAAAATTAATGCACCTATATACACTTACAGTCAATTATTCGTATAGCTTGTGTTCATGAATTTAATTTGGACGAGATATTGCATATATTTTTTTGAGCGCTTGTCTGCAAATGTAGTATATTGTGTATTATTGAGCGGATCAAGTGATTGGGAAAGTTACAAGCTTTTGAGTTTAATAAATTTCCTGATTTAAATCGATACTCCTAACAATGTGCAGGACAGTTTTGAGTAATGAAACGCAAAAACTACTCGATGTTGAGACTGTCTTTGGCTTGCTGCACAAGCCAAAACAACAGCATGAACAAGAGAATGCATTTTTTTACTTGATTTTTCTTGAGAAGACAACGTAGGGACGTTAGACCAATATCTTATTCAAGAATTGCTTTCAAACTTTCAGAAAGAGAAATCGAGATAAACGGGAGAAACGAGATGCAGAGATGAATATATCACAGGCCTCTTACTTGATTAAGAGAAACGATGTAATTATATTATCGTCATTTTGGTCTTGTCGAATATAAAATATATAACTGTTTGTCTATGTACTTGGCATGAATTTTTATGTTTCTAAAAGGCGAATTTAGTCAGCTTCTTTCGTTTTTAAGAGAAGAAGTGACCTGTCCTGAATACATAATTCAGCCAAACTAAGTTCTACATCATTTATTGCTACCAGGCCATAGGCTGTAGTACCTTGTAATTCTGATCCCTTTGATTTAGAATCTCTTGTTGATGTATCTGGTGCCTTGGGGCAAGATAGACTGGACGCACTAACAAGACAGATATATTGTTGAAGCAGGACTGTATCCGCCTCTGGGCCCTCCCCATTTTTGTTAATGATTGCGGAATATGCAACACTATTTGTATCAGTGACACTACTGTTCCTATCATCACTTTCCATACTTGATACGATGCTAGTTGGCCCTATCATTTGCGATGTAGATACTGATGAATCCATGCTGAACAAACGTCTAAGAACACTGGATAATGTCTCTTCGCGTCTACAAGCAAGTTCGATGCGCTGTCCATTTGGCATTCGAAAGGCAAGAATGATTAAATCAACCTGGTGCGTTGGGGCATTTATAGCGACTTTTTGACAGTCTTCCTTGGGATCTGTCTCCATAGTTTGTTTGCATTTGGTAAATAACTCCTTTTTTGCTGCTATTGCCGTTAGAGGCTGCTTTGCCCTCTCACCTTTTTCATGACTCTCTGGTATTTGAACCAGCGTCTCTTTCCGCTCTGAAGAAGCGA